CCGCCCATCTCTTTTTCAAATGAATGGTAGGTATATAGATAATTGCAATGCTTTTCTGGCTAAATGAGGTTTTACTCTTTATTACTCTTATTATCATGTTTTTCTTTTGGTCAAATGATGTCGTACTCAAATAAAAAGGAATTTGTTAAGGATTCAAATCTTATCTATTAAAAACTTCCTTAATTTCAAAGAAGGAAGTTGATTAGAGATTCCCTTTTCATATTCTGGTTTTTAACACAGTAGAACTTAAACACTTGCTAACCCTTACATTATTCAAACTAAAAGCCAACCAATCGTTCATGAGTGCCCACATGTTGCTAAATCTTATCGTCAGCATTGGTTCTTGGCTGCCCGCATAATTCTCATCTTTTTAATTTTTCAATTAATTACACTAGCTGGAAATGAATGCGAGTTCCACTTCACTACTAAAAAAAGATTATTAGCAGAAGTAAAATTTATTAGCATAAGTTATTTATAGCCCATGCTCCCATGTGCAATATTACAATGTTAACATTGGTAAATAGCTAGGCGAGAAGACAAAAGAGATAGAGATGCCGCCGCCGAGCCTTAGCACCAAGCTGTCAAGTGGCAGATGCCCATGCATTTTCTATCTGCCCAGAAAGCAATACTAAATTCAGTGATGCCTGCGATTCTTCAGTCATCCCTTTTTTCCTTTTGGGTAAAGAGTGTGAGGGTGGATAGATAGGGAAGAAGCAGAATCCCCATTTTCTAGAATGAGAAATAGATATCTTTAGTCATTCAGTTATATCAGATTGATTAATTAGAGTTACCACGGGCAAATTTGGCATCTAAAATACAAGTTTTGTGAACTTATTTCACATATAAGTAGTAAAATACTAGCAATTAAGAATGTATACATGTAAAGGGTTTGTCTATTTGGTAGTGCTCCAAATAAGGGGTGGATCCAAAGTTGCCTAATTGGTCTATGTGAATATGAATCCTGTACATAAACAAGAAGCAGTTGTAGAGGGTACTGTTCAAAAAATTTTATCTGCTTTTGGAGGGTTAATTAAGTCATTTGAATTTTGATGGGCCAATCGGTTTAGAAGAGTGTACAAGTGGATGATGCTGCGGTATTTGTGAAATGACTTTGGGGGCCTTTATTTAGTTGCTCTTCCTTCACATATTTATCAATAAAATTAAATGACAGCTTTAACTTTTAGGCTCATACACACTAGTGTGTACGTGTGATGAAAGAGATATAATTGTTTGATAATGATGGTTTTCTACCATTACAACTATAGTTGCTGTTATTCAATATGTACTTAGTCAATAAATTGGTATTAATCTCACACTTATCTTACTAACTACGGTTAATTAGTCAAACTCTTCCCTTTCTTCTCCGTGAGAATTTTGTTAGTTTTCAATTCTTTTTACTATAATAATGTTTTTGGTTTCGGTTTTGCTTTCAAAGTACATCAAAAATAACAAATAATCGTTCTACTGGTCTCATCTTTTTTATGTTCATTTTTTTTCTTCAATCCAAAAGTTGCTGATTGTTGCCTCTTGTCTTAGGTTACATACAAATCATCTTCTCTTCTCTGTGTTTTTTGTATGTTCCTATACAATTGCTAAAAAATTCTGTTTTTTCTTCCCCCTTCCAGGGAGATTATATTGAATCACTTTTGCAATCAATATTGGTGATGGTGGCATGGTAATTAGTAATTAGCAACACAAATTCTTTACTAGCGAATCTATAACAACTAAAATGATTGTGAGATGTGCCACTGGCCTTAAATTCTTTTACGATTGTCATTGAGCAACTCATATTTATCAATTGTATGATTACTTATGAATTAATCACATTGAACTAAGCAGAAGGAATGGCTATGCAGTGAAATTAGGCCAGGTTGATACAGGATTTTATTACGTTTATTGGATTAATCATCTCACATGTTTCTAAGGGTGTTTAGATTACAAATTACTCAGAAATCTGAAATCTCTTACATTTCGTGAAGCATCTGTGAAAATGTGAAAGGCACCTCATCAAATTTCATATTCGCTGGCCAACTGCTGAATTAGCAGTTAGCAATTTGTCATTCCTTCAAATTTTCAGTGCGACGGCTGATCTTCTCCATCTGAGCATCTAGCTGTAAACAAATGCCAGTTTCTGGATTGTCATTGAGTTAATGGCAAAACTTCATCGGGCTTGTAAAGACTGGGGCTTCTTTCAGGTAACAAATCAAGAGAATCCATCACATATAGAATCCTAATTGTACTACTTGTAATGATCAGATACATAGCTTACTTTCCCTAGTAAAGTAGCGACTAACAGTGCGTGACTCAATCTTGCACAGTTAATTAATCATGGGGCCACCACAGTAATTGAGAAAATGAAGTTGGTGACAGAGGACTTCTTTAAGCTGCCATTACAGCCATGGTTCAAAGTCGCGGTAGCAGTTGCAGTCGTGATCCGGATCGTTTCACATCGGTCTCGATATATCGGTCACGGTCTCGACGAGACGCGAATTTTTAAAATATTTAATAGTCTAAAATTGTGAAAAATATGATAAATAAAAATAATTAAAAAATTAGTAAAAATAATAAAAATTCGAGTTAACTCGAGATGACTCGGAGTAATTCGGTGTGACTCGGTGTATGCACAACTACCAAATGATGTTGAAGGATATGGTCAAATATTTGTGGCATCAGAGGATATGGTCAAAAGCTTGACTGGGGGGACATGCTCTTCCTCCGTGCATTGCCAGTTTCTCAGAGAAATATGAGATTCTGGCCTACGACTCCAATATCTTTCAAGTAGACAATGGATAATACACAGCATCACAATCTTTTCCCACTTCTCTATGCTAATTTGCAAATTTCTGATGATGACAGAGCAACCATGGATGAATGCTCACTTCAAATGCACAAGGTTTGCATCACCCTGTTTAAACTTATGGGGGCGAATCTTGGTGTAGACCCAGACAAATTATGCAGCATCTATCAAGATGGCATACAAGGAATAAGAATGAATTACTATCCACCTTGCCAGCAAGCAGACAAAGTTATTGGCCTGACTCCGCACTCTGATGCAACAAGACTGACCTTATTAGTTCAGGTCAATGATGTTCAAGGCCTGCAAATCAAGAAAAGCGATACATGGGTGCCTATTAAACCCATTCCTGGAGCAATCATCATCAATATCGGTGATATTATGGAGTAAATGACCACCAAAACCAAATTCCTACTTACTGAGCATCTACAGGTATCATTGAGTTGATGTGCTTCGATGATTTGTGCAGAGAATGAGCAATGAGGAATATAGCAGCATTGAGCATAGAGCTATCGTGGATTTCCACAAAGAAAGACTTTCAATTGCTGCATTTCACGGAACAAATTTCACAGCAAAAGTTGGCCCTCTAGCAGATCTTGTCAAAGAAATTGGACCACAATACAAGACAACAGAAACCGAAAGCCTTCTCAGACTGTATCTAAGCAGCTAACTGGATGGCAAAAGCTTACTGGATCACATGAGGATAAACAAGTGAAAGAATCAGCGCATTTTCACTTGCAGTACTACTGTTTTTTTTTTTTTTCATCTTCATTATAAACCAAGCTTAATGAATTACCAATATGCCTTCATGGAAGTTTCCAGTTGCACGTTATTTATCTGTTTACTTTTTTATGTTAAGGTCGGTTGTCCAACTCTGGTCCTTAGTTAACTTCCTTTCTTATACTTTAGTAGTGTAAGTACTAGCCTACTAGGCTAGTCCAAGTCAGATTCCTAGGGTTACATCGGCGGTGGTGTCTAGTTGTCCAAATTCAAGTATGTTCCCTGGATGAAGTATCAATATTATGAAGTTTGTAACTCTATATATATCTACAGTGGTGTGCTATTTTTGCATTTGTCTGAACGATATCAGCCCAACCTTGGATGAATACTCACTTGAATTGCATGAAGTCTACATAACCCTTGTTAAAGTGATGGTCACGATTCTTGGGGTGGACAGACCAGAGATACTAAACAGCATGTATCAAGGTAATGTGTCTCATCGCTGCACACTCTGATGGAGGACTTACACTATTGGTTCAATTCAACAAAGTTGAAGGCCTGCAGATCAAGAAAAATAATAGATGGGCGCTTACATAACTTCCTAGCTCTAGCTTTTTGGTCATGTACTGGAGGAGAACGATGACATAGGAAGTCTGGGAAAACAAGAAAAATTGTCATAGAGGAAGAAGTCAATTTCTAAGAATGGACATAAAGTCGATTTAGAAGGACATTACTTGGCTTCAAATCACAGTGAACAACGGGAATTGAGTAACAATGATGGAGATACTCCAACGCAGATGCCACATCTATCATCACATTCATTCTTTGGATGATACTTGAGCAATTATTGTAAGAATACAACCACTTCTCAAGTCAAGGCTCCCACTGGGCAACTAATCATGTATTAATCTCTTAAAGTCATCATTCAGATTTCTGTGCCTAAGAATACATAAGACTTTCTGATTCTCTGGTGCAACTCTTGAATGAATATTCCAACTGTAAATTGAACGCCTTTATGGCCACATACATTCCATTAGCTAGAATCCCTTTGTAAACAGATCCAAAACTTCCTAGTAAGTTGCTTTCATCATAACCATTGGTTGCTTGTAGGAGTTCATAATACGAAATCCTTCCTTTTGCTGTCAACGAGAACAAATTAGTTCCATTAGGAACCTTCTCCTTCTTTATGTACCGAACGAACAAAAATGCCAAGGCAATACCAGCAATTATTGCTGAAGCTCCAAACACTATCAATTTAGTTTGAAGCACTTTCTTTGTCCTCGATATGTGAATTGAAGTGTTTGGCTTGCTGGAACATGAAACCTAGATGATCCACATAATACATCATTGGAGATAAAAGATTCACCAGTGAAATTCTTGAAAGGGCCGTCAGATGGAATTTGCCCCTGTAAATAATTGAAAGAGACATTGAAGTAGCTGAGAGATTGAAGTGTTCATGATAGGTCCAAATATTCCAAACTTAGCATGTTACTGATTGACTCAGGAATGGTACCTTCAAAGTTGTTATATGCCAAAGAAAGAGGATTCAAGTTTTCTGAATCTCCAATTCTGCTGGGAATGTTATTTGCGAACTGATTCATCAAAAAATCTATCCATGTTGCAACCTTCAACAGTCCAATCTCTGAAGGTAGAGAGCCAGTCAAGAAATTCGATGACAGAATAAATCCCAAGAGATCTTTGAGGCTCCAGAAGCTGTCAGGCACATGAGAAGTTATTCTGCTGGAAGCTAGATAAAGATACCTGAGAGAAGTAAGATTACCTAAACATGCAGGAATTGATTTCCAATCAGACACAATAAATTCAAGTACTGTAAGCTACACAAACTATCAGTCAAGGGATTCTCTTGTAGACCTAGCACTCTCAAATTGCTTAGATTGCCAACAGTTTTTGGAATTCTTCCCTTCATTTTATAGCCACCTGCATAAATGTCTTCTATAGAAGAAGAAAGGTTTCCTATAGAAACTGGAAGAATACCAGTTAACGGGTTATTAGCCACTGAAATTTTTCTCAGGTATCTGCATTCTGTTAACGTAGTGAAGAAGCTTAACTCCACAGATGAAGATTCACTTGTTAAATTGTTATCAAACAGCACTAAGCATTCAAGAAATTGTAGATTCTCTAAGACTGTATAATTTGGACGAGTGAGTCTGTTTCGAGCAAACTCTACATGAGTGAGTTTAGAGGAGTTTTAGATTGAGTCAGGTACAAACAGTCCACTGAGGTTATTAGAGCTGAGGAAAAGTTCTTCTAAATTGGGCAGACCTAAACCCATATTGGATGGAAGATTAACTGAAAGACTGTTGGCAACAAGTGAAAGCACTCTTAAAGTTGAGATGTTGAAGATCCTGGTTGGTATGGAACCTTTTAAACTGTTAAATCTTAGGTTCAACGCCTCCAATGTTTGTAGGTTTCCAACCTCATAGGTAATTACACCTGCCAAATTAAAACAGATAGAACTCCTGAAATGGAATGTTTTCTTAATCCTGAAGAAACACATCATTTGCAAACGGAAGCATGTTTATTTGATCAAGAAAGTTTCAGTTGTCTCATGATTGCTATTCTTAAGTGCCATACCTGTTAAATTGTTTACACCAAGGTATAGTTCTTTAAGTGCAATCAAATTTCCAATAGCTCTAATTGGTATAGAGCCTTCAATCTGGTTATTCTCTAGACTAAACAGCATTAGCTTTAAAATACCACCAAGCCTTTGCCGTAATTATACCTGCCAAATTCAAGATAAAGCAAGGATATATATGTTGGAACAGAATAATCAACTTTTGTAACAATAAAAGATGCTGGACTGTGAGACTGGCTTTGTTAATTTTTTTACTAGACAAGAGAAGGAGTAAATAGAAATACATAGGAGTTCAAATTGTTACCATCTCCGTTAGCAAAGCAAAACTTATTAATATTTCTCGTGAAGTAGTTAGTAAATTGTCACACCTGTTAAGTTGTTGTGCCCAAGATAGAGCCGCTGAAGCCGAGTCAAATTCCAGATTTCTCTTGGGATAGATCATATAATCTGAGGTTATAATCCATGGCTAATAGTTTCAGGTTATAAAGATTACCAATCTCTTGAGGGATTGTACCTGCCAAATAAAACTGTAGTCTCGAGTTAATGCATGAAATTGGAACTAGGCATTAGTCCCCGCGGTGTCGCGAGATGCCCATGTTGTATGTTTTTTTGTGTATTTTTGGGGTATGATAGGCTATTATTATTATTATTATTTGGAGATTTTGGGTCTAAAATCTCCTACTTATCATTTCTCTCATTTAGTCATCCAATTCAACCCTTCTCCGTTCGTTTATCAATTATATGTACATGTAATTTATATTGGAACATGTGTAAAGATTTGTAATATAATTTTTGTAATGTAGTATGCATTTGTCATATTTTGTATTGCTTTGAATGATAATGATTTTGATATATTTTTCTATTCGTAGAGTGGTTAATTGTTTTGCATTTTTATTTTTTGGTATTTTTATTGTTTACAATATATTTACGATTTGTCTAATTGTGATTTGATTATTGGTTCTGATTAATTTTATGCTAGTGAAAGTTGTGAGACTGGATTAATTGAAGGATTTCTCAGTGTATATGATAGTATAATTTGAGGTGTATTATTCTAGGTTGTGTTGATTTTTATAATATTAAATATTGATTAGTAATGCATAAATTGTATAAATTTTTTACTGTTTGTTGGTGGTACTATTTAACTTGTGAAGAATAATTTAGCAGCTAAAGTTGCTGTTTGTTTGTGAATCATATGTTTTTTGCCATAAGCGCCATAAGGCGCCAGACCCAAAAAAATTTCGCAAAAAACGTTAGAGGTCCAAAGAAATCTAGGTAGACATCTGAAGCAAACAGCTGCCCAACCACTAAAAGTACTATTCACAATAAAAAGACCAAAAGGCCAAAATCTGTAGAGAAACAACAGCGAAACCAGCGTAAAAGGGTAAACTTGGTATAGGGCCATCAAAATTCAGAACTTGTGGCCGACAAACATGAAATAGAGTCAACTACAAAGATTCTAAGAGAGAAAGAATCTCTCTTTAGAAAATCCTAGGACAATTCTCACACTAGAATTTCTAGGGTAGACTTAAAGATTGAAACGCGTAGACCAAATGACTACCCTACTTCTATGGAGGAAGATGTTATCTTATTTGAAAGGAATGGAGAAGAAAGCTGTAATTAAAATGTGGATTTGAAAAGAATTCATTTCAAATTCATTCATTTGAAGGTAATCTTCTGAAAACCATTCACTTTCAAACAGGAGATGGTAACCAATCGAGCATTTCACCAGCAAACATTGGAACGACATGCCCTGATGCATAAGAAAATGATTCTGGAACTTTCCATGGGGTTTTCCTTAATGTGATTTTCGATGTGTTTCTTGGAAGCCCATAAAAGTCCGGACCATTGAAACTTGTAAATGCTTCTAGTTTATCCAGCGCACCAGCCTAAGATACACAAAGGTTACCCCAACATCAATTCAACTACCATGTAAATGAATTAAGCGTGCTATTATAGATCTACTACACTATAAACCTGAATGTTACCCTTCTTCATATCATACATAAATTTTTAGAACCAAAATTTTTTTTCCAAAAGTACAATGCAGGTAAACGTATAGACTACATGCAAATTGCAATTGATTATTCGTGAATCTGGACCCACAGTTATCCACTAAATCTTGACACAGAAATCATAGGGAAGAGACATACGCATGCAGCTAAGATGCTATAATACCCCAGAAGCAAGAGCATCACATGAACTTGCATGCTAAAGTCAACAATTCTAGGACATGCATGAATTCATGTATCACGTAACTTGGCATGGTGCATGACTAAGTAACTTTTGAGGGAAAAATTGGCCAGCATGTTATGGTTCAGAAGAAAAATCAGTTTTTGCAATCTGTACAAATACTGCACAAAATAATAACTTAATGTCATGACAGACACAAACATAAGATTTGTCACAGCAAAATATTGAAGTGCTACACTATCAAAGTTCAAAAAACCAGCATAAATGTCATGAATGATGACATTCTGTACACATTGTGATTGCAATTTATGCATTGACTCCAGCTAATGATTTAATCCTAATATGCTCATTAAATTAGGCTTCTATAACCAGAGAGAGAGAGGGAGAGCGAATCTGTCTGGACTTGGACGCATGTAAGGTATCAATTCAAGGTTTAGAACCACCAGGAAAAATTATGCAGATGCATATATCATTGAGAAAAAAGCAAACAAATGATAGGGTGTTTTGCCAAAACTACCTCCTCAAAAACCTTTGCATATACTGCCAATGCTACAGGAGCATTATAAATACCAGCACAACCACAAGGACACTCTTTCTTTAGTCTATCATGGGGAGCGCTGTCAGTTCCAAGGAAAAATCTTTTACTTCCGCTCGTCACAGCTGATACAATAGCTTGCCCTAAATTTTAAACAAACGACACATCAATAGTATTAAGGAGGTAAAATTTTCATGTTCCTTTGTTGTCCCTTCTCCAAAGAGGACAAAAAAAAAAAAGATATGACACAGACATGACAAAAGATGGAAGTACTGCAAAAATAATGAATTTTCACTACATCATTCAATCACCAAAAATAAACTAGGTAATAGTATCTAATTTAGTTTAAGTACCAAGTAAGACTTATAGTTAAATCCAAAATCTATATAGGGTAAGCAATCTCATTTTATTGTCACAATGATTGACTTCTGCAGTTTTACCAACTAGTATTAAACTCCTGAGGTATAATCACCACCCATTAGCTTGTGTGTAATTTCCTGCCCATAGTTCCAAATAAAAGGTTAGACCAGTAAAGGTCTCAAACAACTATTGAAACTTAAATTCTGTTGCTTCCCAAATACCAACAAAACAATGAAAAAGGAACCCCCAAGACATCACAAAATCTTATTGTAGCCTCAATCCCACGAAGAGAAAATGGGCATATGAAGCAATGACAGTTTTCTAAATTGCAAACGAGATTTCGTCAAAAAAGCATACTACTAATCAAGAAGGTAGTGGAACAGAAAACAAAACAAACCATGACAAAAAACCATGTTCAAGTTGCAGCACTAATGCGTAGAGCAATCATTCATCCACCTGGTTTTCAAGATTAGTGGATAAAAATTACTAGACTTCTTACATGAAGGTCATGTACACAAATTGGACTCGAGAAATTGGTGTCCTTGTGAATAATCAGATTCTTATGGCAAAAAATCGTACACAACAAACACATGATGCCAACCTCAAGAAATGAAAAAAGGATCTGAAGATATTTAATACGTAAAATGAGTAAAAGTTGAAAGATGTACTATGAGTTTCTCTCTTAAGCACAGGAAGGCAGTAATTATGTGGTTGTAACCCTCCTTGGAAAAGAGAATTCCTATTCAGGACAAGGTGTTGTGGAGTGACTGTAGCAGCAATACGCCCTAATCAAAACAATTAAAATTTCATTTTTAACATGATCATGTAATGCAAAAACCAAAATAAGCAACCAACCACTGAGAATAATAAGAGAGAAAACAAGAATTATAGAAAGTTACCTTCAGCACAAGACTCAACAAACTTCACAGCATCCATAGTGGTAACATGCTCCATCACCACTTTCAATTGTGGAAACTTCAGCACCAAGGGGCTTAAAACGGTCTCAATGAATACTTTTTCCCGATCAAAAATGTCAACTTCAGGACTAGTAACCTCTCCATGGACCTACAGTTAAGACCTCTATATTAATGTCATTAAGTAAACAATAGCCTTCCTCTATTGGCTATAGCATAAAACAAAATGCAAATGAAAGAATGTCATCCAGTTGACCAATATGCTACACTTCAAAGAAGCTTAACAATTAGCTCACAAGCAATTTGCTGCTGGTTATTGGAGACAAGTGGGCCTCTGTGTCCATATTACCTCACCACCCTAAGCTGTGCATTCTAATAATTACAATACAAGTAGAATGCATTCACTTACAGATTAAGTGATAAAAGAGAGCCTTAATATATTCACCTACACCTAGTCAATGAGAATTATGTCATTGTTCATAATCTAAGGCAATTAGAAGAGCAAGTTGAACATGCAGTCTATCATTTCAACATATGCCTCTAGATTTAATATCTTTCAACTGTAGCATCATAAAATCATAATCATAAATGAGCTCACTGGAACCGAAACTACAAAGAGTATCTGTGATAAATTGATCTAGTATCATAAACTCAACTTAGTGCAAAACTTTGTCAAAGGAATTACAAGCAAATAATATGATTCCATTCATGTTCTGAAAATATAATAATGCAGCTGTACAAGACAACATTGCAATTCTGATTTACACAGTTAGCATGACAAAGAAATCCACCTAAAGGGTGACAAACGTACCAGGAGAGGCATATTGTGTTTAACCATCTCTTCGATAACAGGCATACACTTCCCGAATAAATCTGTCACACCATCTTGAGAATTGGTTGTAGCACCAGCAGGATAGAGCTTTACAGCATATATTACCCCACTCTCCTCTGTAAAAGGATTCAATTAATAATAGCAAACATGACACAAGACAATGCCAAAACTACTCTGGAAGAAAATTGACCTACCACTTGAGTTCTTCAAATAAAATTTGCAGCTACACTGACTGGGATATTTGATGGTACATCACCCACTAAGTGGTAAGAACATATTCAAATGACTAAAAAGCAATTACATATTTCTTAGGAGCCTTCTTAATTAGTTGTTAATAAATTTTAACAAGATGCTTCAACAACATGGTATCATGTGCAAATAGTTAAGAGGGCTTTGTTGCACCTTCTCCTCTCATAATCAAATAGAAGGCCTTACTCTTAATTCGTTTTCAAAGTTTGAACAGCCCAACAACATGGGAGACTAGCGAACTTGCCTAACTCCTCTTAGACATAGTAAAAGAGGAAAAAAAATTAAGCAATAGATAATATGTAGATGGATCTACAACAGAGAAACACTAAGGTAGAAAGAGAAAAACATCACACAGTGCAAGAACACCTTCTACTATAAATTAAAAAAATCTAAGAGAGCTCAAATTCGATATATAATTCAAGATTGGATAAGCTGTTGTTGCAATCTAGTAGTAGAACAGTTTTGGGGATATCAAGTTTTGCTCTTTTTCTAAAACAACAAAAGCCCCTTTAGTGAAGCATATCTGTAAAACACATAAGTAACTACTCGAACAACAGTCTTCAAGGACTACTCCACCAGTTGAGCAAAACCAAAAGAGTAACACTAGAAATAAGACAATAAACAATCAAAAAATTCCAACATACATAATTAAGACAGCTACTAAATTACGAATTGAACTCACTTGCCAGCTTGATCTCGGCAGGAGTGGTAGAATCTGTCAAATA